CTTTGATTGGCTAGTGTACATATTTGTACAATCCAGGTTTGAAGTGCTGATAATACCAACACTACATCTTGTTGTGTACAGTAAAACTTCCAGAGTCTGTCTTCAGACCTCATAAGACATTCAGATGCTCTCTGTTCCCTCATTTCTTAGCCTGTGTGCGCGCGTGTGTGTGTGTGTGCTCTCTATTAAATTATGAATACTTCCTCTCATTTGCCCGTTCTGTTTAACTAAAGCCATTTCTGCTCCTGTCTTCCCCCAGGAGGTGAGCTACTGCCAGGGGATGAGTCAGATCGCTGCCATCTTGCTCATGTACCTGAATGAGGAGGATGCCTTCTGGGCTCTGTCCCAACTCCTTACCGACAACAAGCATTCCATGCACGGTGAGACAGAGATGGGAAACAGGAAAGCACAGCTAATTAATGTCTGGGAAGTAACTGTACTGTTTAAAACCAATTAAAAATATAAGGATGCTTTACTAACTTTAGTAATCGTTTTCTCTTTAATTTGTATATAATACATCTCTGCTATCGCCATACACAATTTATAGTCTGCTGACTAATTTTTTTCCCTCCCTGCTAGGGTTCTTCATCCCGGGATTTCCCAAGCTGCACCGTTTCCAGGCTCATCATGAGCTAATCCTGTCCAAAATGCTGCCTAAGCTCAAGAAACACCTGGTGAGTAGCAGACTGATGACTGATGCCTTCCATCCATCCTTCCATCCACAAGAGTAATTGAGCTCTTTGAAACCTTAGAAGTTCAGACTCATTTCAAACAATCAGGTCATTTCTCATTTTTTTGATTAATTCATGTTGCAAAGGACCGCACGTTGCAGATCTTAGATTCCAGGGTATTTGGAAAGTGAGATTTATAACTGAAAACAAATTCTAAGGCAGAGTTTCGCATTCATTCCTGCTCCACAGGACAAGGAGCAGATGACAACAGGGATTTACACCACAAAATGGTTTCTGCAGTGCTTCATTGAAAGAGTGAGTATTTGGATTTCCTCCAGATCTTCACTGTTTTTTCAGGGGGGTTATATCTAGTCCCATTAATGAGTGCTTCACAATGCTTTCTTTTACTTTCATTTTTAAATTAGAACTACACCTATGGCAGTTTTATTATGTTTTGATGAGACTGACTCTTAAATTAACAGACACCTTTCACCCTCACCCTGCGTTTATGGGACATCTACATATTGGAAGGGGAGAAGATGCTATCTGCTATGGCTTACACTATCCTCAAGTTACACAAAAGTGAGTATGAGGCTGTGCCATGCCGCGCTTTATCCCTAGATACGGCCGCGGCTGCTGTTGCTACACGAGTGAGTGTTACTGTGTGGATTACATCGCACGCTTCCTCTCGGTTGGCTGCTTCCTAACTGGATGGCTTACATAACAGAAGTAGTCGGTTGCTGTGGAGAAGAATCAAAAGCTGATTTTTCATTGGGTGGCATACTCTAGCACTGGCTCGGCACATTGGTTGATTTCTTGCAAAACAACTCTTTTAACAGGCCAATTCTTTACTTGGCATCTCTTTACTTGGTATCTTTAAACATTACATCTGAGCTTAACTACTCTTTTTAACAGTAACATTTCTATTCCTCACCTCATGGAGATTATCCTCATAGATTACTTTGCTCCTCCTTTGTCTGTATTGTGTGTGTAATCAGAGCGCCTGCAGAAACTTCAGTTAGAGGACCTGAGAGAATTTCTTCAGGAGCAGCTGGCTGCTTCTTTCTTCATGCCTGATGATGCTGTAGTTGAACAGTTGCAGACAGCAATGACTGAACTACGCAGTAAAAAGCTGGACCAGCCTCCTCCAGGTGCACCTATGTTCTTTTACAGGCCTCCCCCCCCCCATCCTAAGCTTCTTTGTCTACAGCGTTTGTCTTGTAATAACCCACAAATTCTGTTTCCTTTTTTAGCCAAGTCAGATGAGTTACCCAAGAAGCCTCTGGGTCAAGAGAGACCAGTTCTCCTTCTCCCATTGCAGCCTGACTCTTCTGTGGAGGTCAAAATAAGTCCGCAGTCTGAGAGCCAGCCCAGTACAGATACCCAGGAAACAGTTGGCATCACCCCACATCAGCCTCCCTCCCTTGAAGAGCCCCAGGAATCAAGAAGCCTCTCCAGGCCAAACACACCTAGTTTGCCTTCACCAGACCCTGTTGTGGTTCACACACAAGGGACACCATCTTCTCTGAGGCCTTGTCGAAATCCTCCGATCCCTCCAAAAGTAGGGGTAAGGAGAGATGTTAAGGAATTGTTCCCAGCAGTTAGTCAAGAGAGGGGCAACGAGGAAAACGAGACCTCAGTCACAGAGATCCAAGACGAACCTGTGGATTGGCCTCCACCCTATGAGCCCCCTCCCTTGGATATGCATACAGTGGAAGCTGAGGAGGAAATCATGGATCTCCCTGATCTACCACCTCCACCTTTCATTTTCCCTAACCAGATTGCCCAAATGCCACTGGGAGGTTGTTCGCCCCATCTGGGAGCTAGGACTGGCCCGGGTATCCAGCAGTGCTCTCACTCCCCCCGCTCAGCCTCACCACTGGTCAATCAAATTAAGCTATCCCCAAAACTATACCCTAAACCTCTGACATCACTTGACATTATGCAGAAAAAACCTTTGCCCTCAAAACCCTCCCCCAATCGTGCCTTCACAGATTCGTCTTCCTCTCCCAGAATTCCCCCAAAGCCAACCAAGTTCCCAGTCTCTCTATACGTCCCGGTATCTGCAGGAGATAGACGGCCTTCTAACACCTCACAGTATGACAACCTTTCGGAGGTTGATGAAGATGACCGTAATCTAGAAAGAGTGCTGAGCTCCACTCCTGAGGAAATTCCTAGCCTGCACAACAACCCGTCATACAACAGAGAATATGACCCTGCTGTGTACCCTCTGCCTCCACCTCCTGTCTACATGCATCACTCTGCTTCCCCTCCCTCACTATGTGCCCTTCCCAGTTTGCCACAAGAACCAGAATATGTAGGAGAGGGCAGTTGGGTGGAGGATCCTATCCTTGCCCCTCCTCCACCTAGTTTTGCCGACAGACTTAGTCCCCTCCAATGCACCACTGCCAGCTGTTCAGACCCGCACAAAGCCATGTCACCCGGTTATTCTAAGCCTTTCTCCAGGGGCCCCAGAGACCATTCTGCCTTCCCAGCACCGCTGTTGTACACCGGGTCACCTCCGACTCACTTAAGATCCTCAGGACAGTCAGAAGTAGGAGTAGCTTTGGTCCAGTCCAGTCCAGACTTTTGCAGGGTGCCTCAAAGTGGACATCAGTTGCCCAAGTCGGTGACATTTTAAAGTGTTATACAAATGTTACTGCTTGTCTAGTTTTCAAAGACATTTTCAAGGTGAAAGGCCAGTAAGTTTTAAATTTGTTGTGTGTGTGCGCTCGTGTGCTCATGTGCTCATGCTTCGTGTATTAGATTCTTGCACCTTCTTTTATGGGCAGTGGTGTCAAATTTGTATTTAAATTCTGTTGGCTGCACAGAAAAAGTGTTAACTTGCCTGCTCTTGTTGTCATGTGAGAAAATGAGGTTTCAGTTTTTTGGATTGTAATAAGAAATTTTCAGACTGTTTGTCCATACAACCTGCGCATTTCACCATTGGTTTGTTTCTCTCTGTTTAACAGTGTCCCAACAAAGTGTCTTAACCTTATCATTGTGCACTGAGGGTTGCAACTCTAACACAAGGGCTTTGAGGCTGCCAAATGAGACCTTGCAACCAAAGCCTGTACATTTATGCTGAATTTATATCAAACTGTGAGCAGGCTCACATATCTAACAGTATATCAAACTGTAATGAGAAACTGTTATTATTCTTTACAGAATTTTTAGGTCAGTACTTGATTTAAAAAAGGACCACTAATGCAGTGCACAGGCAAACCTTTCAGAGAGTTTAAAGCTGTATCCACCAGCAGCAATATGAAACGATGTGATACTTCTCTGCTTTAAATACTGAAGTTTATATCACATGAAGCCTGGTCAGGTCAGCTATTTCCCAGGCAGGTAGCAGTGGGTACTTTGTTTGTCTTTTTAATTTCTTTGTTTGGATGCTTTTGTTTTTCAAAGTAATAGTTCCAGTGTTATCTGTTTGTCTAATACTTGATCTCACAGCAATAATGTACTGTGTATATATACATGCATGTATCAAATTTAATTAAGGAAAGACTAAAATGAGGTTTTATTCCATCACATCAGCAGTTTCTCAGTAAAATTCATTGACACTTTCTTTGAGAGTAGCGCCATCTAGTGTTCAGTGGTAGAATAGATTCAAAGACCGAGATGCTTTTTGGGAAACTACTTCTGCTTGTTAATAGTTCTTCCTTTTATTCTTGGTTATGAATGTGCACATATTCAGAGACTTATACATGAGCAAATCCCATATCTCACTGTTTAAAACAGATATAAACCAGGAAGAAAAATTCATCTGAGTTTCTTCACATACTTTAGAGCTATTGGTGACTTTAGTGTTTTATTTAATTGCTATAAGGACTTTTTTTTTTTTTTGAGAAATGGAAGTTGAGCCATAATATAAAATACAAGGAACTACTGTATAGTCAAACATGTTTATGTTCTTACAATTATGACATTGTATGTAAACATCAGTTTTGGGTTTTGTTTTGTTTTTTTGCACTGACATTTGTTATTACAGACTTTGCTGTTCTTAATGGGGTTTTTTTTTATGGAATTACAAATTAGTGCTAAAGTCTTTGGTCTAGGTTTGCAGACTCACTGTACATTCTTGTCTAACAACTTGGACCTTAGCTCCCACACAAGTATATTTTGGCTTGCTGGAGTATTCTGTCATGTGACCTGCCCACCAATTGTGGATCAGTACTCCTTTTATGGATCTGTTTGGCATCAGTGAGATTTGGGCTCAGACCAAAGCTTTTGTGCAGTTATGCAACTATGAGTTTTATAAAGAGACAAACCCAGGTTATGTTCTTTTTTTTTTCTCTCCTCTTTTCTGCAAAGACAATTCACAACTGCTTTCAGATATTTATTGCACACCCCACAGTATCATATAGTGTATATACCTCAATATCAAGGTGCTTAAATTAGTTTTTTTATTTATTCCTTTACACAAAGTACATTAGGGCACAAGAGATTTAAATTTAGACCTTTAGAAGTTCCTTAATATTAAATATGAAAGAACATTCCAACATAATCCACTGATTCAACGCCAGCATCCTACAGTACCTATAGTATTCGTACTTCATATTTTATCTGCAGCCACCCTGATTTTTCTCCTGTTGGAATGGGTTAAACATACATTTTAGGTATAAGTGCACTCTTGCCTTCAACTTTGGTTGTTCTTGACAAAACAGTTAAAGGCTACAAGCGTCACAAGTTTATGTTTTTGCAGAAAGTTTCTGTACATTCATGTATCAAGTTATGACAAATTGTCATTTTTACCCAGACAAAATAAACGGCTTGTCATAGATGTGGTTACTGGGAACACAAAATGCTGTCTGTACATTGACAGTATTGACTGACTTGCTATACACTGAGGAGAATGGATGAACAAATGCTGTGATTAGGTTTATATAAATTCAAAATAGAAGTAACGCCTGTAACCTAAAAACCTTAGTGCAAGGAGAAACCACATGCAACCTCAGCACAGACACAGTCCACCCGCTGAGGACGGGGTAGTAAGTAGCACAGCTACGCCCACACCGCTCGTATCGTTCATATCCTAAGTTGAGCCATGAGGTTGGAAAGGGAGGTAACGCTGTTCCTTAGTTTGGAGTCTTCTTCCTGTCCCAGTGACACTCCAGCTAGGCGTGTGGAACCGTTTACTCCCATAATGCAGGGCAGACTGAGGAACACCTCTACAGCTATGCCACCCCAACCCTAAAGTAAACAGAAAAGGCTTTTTTTTAGAACAAGATAATCAATGACCTTTCCTACAATGCCCTGAAAGCATTACACACTCACACTCTCTCACATTATTTGAATTAGTTGCTTCAATAACAAGCCACTTAGTGTTGCTACCTGAGCAAGTGTGGAGACAGAGTGCACCTTCCTCTTATCTGTCAGGACACTATTTGTAATGTCGGCGATAGAAAGGCCCACCGACCATGACCGCTGGCCTCGATTTTTCATGATCTCAAAGGCTCTGCAGGCACAAATTAAAATAAACAATTTTTTAAAAAGAAAAATATTTACTTAATTGATCAAAAATGCACTTATAATATTTTACAGTTATTATAACATTTTGTTCAAAGTTATAATAATTCATTCCAGTACCTGTCTAACAGTGGTTTGGTAGAGCTGGATCCTTGGGCAATCTCAGGTGATGCACTGGAGTTCAACCCAGAGTTACTCATCACAGCAACTGTGAGACAAAAACAGAAACGTAATTGTTTGGGTGACTGGTGTTTTTTTCCAAGTCCTTAGAATAGAAAGAAAGTACAAGTTGAACCGGTAGTGCAGCATTACTGCTTATGGTTGAAATGGTTGAAATGGTTGGGGGGAAAAACACGTGAGGTGAATAAATGGGTTAAGACACATCTGTAAATGGAAAAACAGTCAGTGTACAGGTCAGGAACTCACTGAAGGAAAAAAAAACCAACAAATATTTAAATAGTCAGTCCGTCCTTTCTGGCTCACTTTTGTTATCTGAAAGTTCTCCTATGACCCAGGCTGGTTTGTGTGTGTTCAGGTTGATATCCATGACATGACTGAGTCGCTCCGAGTCCAGGTTACACCCTGCTCCAATCACATGTGTTGGAGGCAAGCCACTCTGCCTCCAAGCAACGTGGGTCATTATGTCCACTGGAGAGAGAGAGTGAGTGACCGTACGTTAGTTATATAATGAGCCGAGCAGTCAGTAGAAGGCGTGTCTGCTGCTGTTACCGACCTGGTTGTGATGCAATTAGCATCACTGCGCTAGGGCTGAGACGTGCCAGATTGGGAATTATTCCTCTGTACAAGTCAACGTTGGTCTGTACCACGGTGACATACGACTGTTCACTGCTCCATGCGTTTGCAGTCACCACGACCACCCTGGAGCCTGCAGAGGCTGAGATATCTAGCACAGCAGAGACAATGGTAATTAATTCCTGCAGACCTGTCACAGCAAAACTTGTAAAAGAAAAACACAAAGCTTAGGCATTGTTAATTCAGCAAACATTGACTGTGGCATTCCCATTCTTGTTCAAATGTTTTCTTTTTCCTCTTTCCTGATGAGTCATCAAATATGTTCTCTACACAAGCACAGTGCCAGTCCTCTCCCTTCTAATCAAACTGACATCACTGGTGACTCAGCAAAGAAGCATCTCTGGGTTATTTGATGGTGCAGTGTGACGTACCTCTGGATACTTCAACCTTTGGCAGACTGAAAATCTCCAGATCTGTACTGCCACCCTTGGTGGAACTCTCAGCGACATCAATGAAAACCAGTTTATCCACTTTACACTGGATGAAAAGCAAATAACAAGATAAACCACTTCTGAATAGTAAAATAGGAATTGCTAACATCTGAAGCTGGTGAAATAATAATTGTATGACATAACAGTTTATTTAAAAAAATACAATAAAATCAGGTGATTACCTTGGATAAAATGCTCATCACTGATGCCATTCCTAAATCTCCTCCCCCAATAACTGAGACTTTGTTGATTGGTTGATCGTGATGGCTGATTCCACCTGAAATTTAGTAAAGCCATCACTATGAACTACTTGTCTCATTAGTGATCATCAGTTATAATAAAACTATATATTAGGAGTTGCACCATCACTGATACGGAAATTGGAGACAAACGCCAGGAGCTCATGGGGATCTTTCTTGTCTGTTGTGGTCTTTGAGGACAATGGAGGGTCTTCCTGAAATTTGGTAACCATCTCATTCAGAAGACCCACCACAGATGACTTTGGCTGTTACAGAGGAAACGAAACAGCAACATTTCAGCACCATGTCCGCTTTTAATTTTAAATTTCAACCAGACAGTACAAGATCTTACATGATCCCAGTTGTGAAGGCCAGGTAGGTGGATACGTCCATGGGCATCAACGTGCTTGCCCTCTCTGATGACCATGTTAGAAGTGGGTTTCAAGTGGCATATGGGAGGAGTGAATGGGAAGGAGTCCAACAGCCACAGCTGAATGGGGAAGTTGTAGGAGCGACCTTTGGACAGAGACACCTCAGTCAGTACAAAATTATGACCTCATGCTCAAATTAGTGATGCTATTAAATTATACAACTCTTTCTATCAAAATTGGGAGGCAAGTGAGAAGAGTTTGGGTCAGCCATACCTTCATATTGGACCGGGATGGTGCCAGTTAATTTCAGAAGGTCTTTTTGGGTGCTGTCACTAAATGCTGAAATATCAGTAAAGATGGTATAAGTTTAATGTTCTTGTGTGCGAAGGTCAGCAGTAAATGGGTTTAATGTAAGAACTTACTGTATGTGCCTGTGGATAGCGTCATCCCAGGATAGATACGATTGATTTTCTCCAACTCCTCAACAGCAACATCACGAAATTTGTACTAATATCAGGGGGCAGAGAAGGAAGACTTAACTGTTTCGTATTTGGGTTATATATTACACACATGAGGTATATTGTACCACATCAGTTCTCTACAGATTTGGGTCATTACAGTAATCTTTTATTTACATTAATTTATTTGTGGCTGTAAGAACATTTGTCATCGTACATTTATTCTGACAACAAAACACCCAACAATTACTTTTATATTGACATTTTCTTGAAGGGTCCAACAGGTCATTGCGTATTGCTGTATTCCACACCTACAATGGAAATGCTCATTGGCACAAACAACAATAAGTGAAGCACAATAATACTGCAGTCTACGCAAAGTTAGACACGAGTAGAAAGCAGCTCAGTTTAGCACTTTTTAATTGCCCTTCCTGTCTCATTACTATTTTAAATAAGTTACCATTCTGTTCTTTTTTCCCGTCTCATTGCCATCCAGGTTTCTCTCAGACTTCAGTAACAGAGCTGGTTCGGCTAGTTAGTGAAGGGAGACAGCAGCTAACCTAGCCTGCTATACTACCCGGCAATTATGTTTTGAGTTTTAACTTAAGAGGATCTTTCGAAGCAGCTCGTAATAAATCACTAACCTTCGAAAGAATCCGCTGGATTTGCTCTGACGTGAGGTCCATCTATTAAAGCACGACTCCCCGAAATAAAATAAAAAAAATAATCCTCGTTTCTTTTGATTTCCACCAGACTGAGACTTTGCTTCCACTTGAACAAACTTCCGCAAACTTTAAGGAGTAGTCAGGCGACACAGGGAGACGGATCCCGCCCACTTGTGACATCAACTACGGCAAAGTGGCAGGTACAAAAAGATATGTAACGCCATTACCACACTGTATGAGCACAACCTTACATACTGACCATGCCAGTTTCTTTAAATAAAATAAACAAAAATACTCGACACAATTTAGGGAAGGAAATCGTTTTTGCTCTCTCTTCCACAGAAATACAAAGCAAAACATTGACTACCTGCTGCATTGCATTTGCAGTCCAAAAAAAGCTTTAGATTGTCATACTCTGAAAATGCAGACATAAAACTAAACAAAAGCCTTAATGCATTATTGTCAGTCAGATCCTTGCAAAGATAAAACACAAAGTATCAAATGGTAATGTCGTCTACATTTTACTGAGTTTACAATAAAAGTCTGGAAAAATATGCAACAACTTCGCCTCAAAAATAGCATGTCATCATTTATATAACATTTCATGTTAGCGTTTTGTTTTGTTTGTTTGTTTGTTTGTTTTTTAAAAAAGAGGAAAAAGAAAGAAGAAAGAAAGAAATCAATCACACTTTTCCATTACTGTAGTTGTTGATGCCAATCTTTTTTGTTTTTTAAACAGATGGGACTGTAGGTATCCCTGCACTCAGCAGGTAAAATAAATAAGAAAGGACAATGTGAGAACTTTAACCCTAGTGCCTGAATAATTTGTGCATATTGTCTTTTTTAAGCCTTCTTTTACTAAAATTCTTCCTCTCCAGTTTTCTTGAGATGCTGCTAGGTTTTATCTAATCTCAGGGAGAGAAGCAATGACAAAGCACCCAAAGTGGACAGTCACTGGGTTTTGTATATCCCTTTGTTGCATCTCTCAGCAAAATGAAGAAAATGATCTTATTTTATTCCTCTCAACAACAATGAGGCCTCAGTTCATTTTTTTCCTCTTGACGTTTTTTCTTTTCAGCTCTTCTTCCTCCCTTCTTTCCTCCTCCAGATCCTCCTGCACAGCCATTCTCAGGCTAAAGTGGCAAATCACAGAAATACAGAACAAAACATTACTTTGTATTTTTTTTTAAAGGAGTAGACCACTATGGACAAATGGCACACAGACAGAAAAAGAAACTGAGGTCCCCCCCCCCAAAAAAAATCTTATTACCTCCTAGCTTCTTCTTTCTGCAAATCTTTCCAGCTGCTCTCCATGAATTTTAGTGCATAGTCACTCTCATCTCTGTATCTGCAGAGGTTGAAAACAAATATAGAATTTGATTTTCAGTTCAATTAAATGGATTTTTCCTTACATCAGACCATGTAGTGACAAGCCTTACCTGCTTCGATCATAGCCAAAGATTTCCTTTATGTGCTTAGAAATTTCCTCCTGCACCTCACCTCCATCATCAATAAAATCATCCATTTCTGAGTCATACTCATCTTCCTCATCCTCATATTTCCTCTTGTATGCAGATGTGATAGGTGGCAGCATCGGTCCTGGATAATGAATATAGAAATTACTTTCAAAATGCGGCATATCAAATTTTTCCCTTTTCAATATAAACATAGTAGGGAGAAGACACTGAAATTATGTTTTGTCTGAGGTAGGTCGCAGCTCTGCGACACAATAATGAGGACAAAGGCTGTGAGTGTTGCTGACACTTCATTCAGTTGGGCAAACAAACCCTTTGCCCTGTAGCAGACTGTTGTGTTTTTTTCAGGCTGTTAGCAAATGTTAGCAATTTTAAATATAATATAATATAATAATTCTAGCCTATGCCGCTTAGGATTGCTGGAATTGATGCTTTTCCACACAGACCCCACCCTGCAATCCACACGGTCCAAACAATCCACAGTCAGTGTCCTGACACAGACACAATGTAACACCCCCCAGATGTCCCATGTTCATGCTCCAGTGGGTAAGAGCTGTTTTGCAGCAGTCAACACAATATTACGCTGATGGGTTTATTACTGTGTGCACAATGTATAATACAATTTCCTTTGTATTGTGTTGCTTGTGGGTTACGGGAAGTTGTTTTTTCCTCTCTCATATATATACACA